TATGGACACTATTGAAAGTACTGCAAAGATAATATTTGTCTGTGTTTGGACACTATTGAAAGTACTGCAAGGATAATATTTGTATTTCCTAACAAACAGCGATTTTGACATCAGATAGAGGTACACTTTTACGTTTTATGAATTTTAAATGTATAGTAACTCAGGTGAATGGTAAGTATTGCTATTTTAAATACTTTGTATAATATTAAGGTGATTCATTAAACATTAAGGCATTCGTTTATTATATTTAGTTGTCGCAAAATGACCTTCAGGTAGAAATGGAAATAACTAATATATACTGTTAGTTTCAGTCAGTAAGCTCTCGACAAAGATTTTCTACAATTTATTGGACTTTAGTGATCAACTTATAAAGCTAAATGGTGATAAATAAATGACCTTTTCAGGACGAATAGGTATTAGTTATAGAAATGAAAACGTCAGGAAATACAAAAAGGATTATTAGATATAGAAGCGAAAATTAACGAATTAGTGAAGTGTTTTATAGATGGATAATAACTCAAATAATAGATAATATGTATGCATAATATGATATAATAGTTGTCTCCTTAAAATATTGATTTTTACTTAGGGCATATACTTAAGTCTACACCTTGATGACATATTGAAAAACAATTTGCTTTTAGTAACACAATTCATATATATATAGTAACACTATCTGCCTGGTAACAACGTCCGACCTTAATAACACCATCGGCATTTGGAAGTCATATGTAAGTAAAAACTATACAGTAACAGTCATAGAACACATAATTAAATCTACACATCGATGATGTAATCATATTGGAAAACAATTTGCCATTAGTAACGCATATATAGAAACTTAACAATATATTCCACCTAGTAACACCATCATCCGACAGACCTTGTAGTAATAACCTCGTCCGTCTATAGAAACACTATAAAAAATATGTAATACATAAATGAAAATTATAAATATAAGTTGGAATCTGTACACCATCCACCTTTGTAAAATGCATGTAATACAAATAAATATATAAATGAGAACAGAAACATAAGTTGAAGCCCGTATGTATTCCTACGGGATTGTCAGCCTTTGTAACTAGTATTTAATGTTTTACGTATGCAGTGAAATGGAATTAAATCTAGACAATGATGACATTTGGAGACACCCTAACATGAGATCATCATGGAGGCTTAGCAACACGCTTTCTGGACAGCTTCCATTGTGATGACAACATTCTCCTGTTATGGCGCTAGCGCCTTCTGGTTCCACTTCGTGGAACTATGATGTCACACGTAGCAACATTCTCTCTGTCTTTTGCCTGTCCTAGCAACACGTCCTCTGGCGACACTTCGTGGAACTATGACGTCATCGATCTCTACCCCTCCCCCCGAGGTCTATACATTTGTTTTGCTTTCTGGCGGCGTGGCTGACAAATGACGTCACATAGAGGATGCTTAACGTTGTAAATATATGTGGCAAGATTAAACTATATTTGTCTGTATGTTCCTTCGTTTTTAGCTACAACAACACACAGAAAACTTGAAATTACATATAAAGAAATATACAGAACAACAAAATACCTATAAACCTTTACAAACACAGACTTCGTAAGCATAGACTCTAAGACCAGAGTTTAATTTAAACCAAACTTCAGAACCATTTAAGGCTGAAAATATGAATAAAATACACTTTGATTCTATCACATGAAAGTAAATAGATCCATCAAGCTAATAAAAACCAAAGCTTAACTTAAATTAAACTATTATTAACTTAGGACTAAAATGTGAGTCGATGTGCTTTACTGTTATACTCTTGGAGAATATAGATGTGAACTAGTGACTAAAGATCACAATAGCAGTTGTCCAAGCTCGCGAAGACTATGTTTGAAAAGGTTTTATTATTTTCTGTATATTTAGGTTTAATTTCAAGTTTTTCATGGGTTTTTTTCTACTTATAAGTGAGTTTATTTACGTTCAGTGAAGGAGAACTTTAAGCTAACATATTATCATAATTTAATCTTAATCTTTAAAATTGGTATCTGTGCTTAGCTCGAGTTTAAACTGACATCTGTGTTTAGTTCAAGTTTAAAACTGGTATCTGTGTTTAGCTCGAGTTTAAACTAGCATCTGTATTTATTTCAAGTTTAAAACTGGTATCTGTGTTCATCTCGAGTTTAAAAGTGGTATATGTGTTTTAGCTTAAGTTTAAAACTGTGCACCATGTGTTCTGTTTAAACTCGAAATTCCTTATATGGTTAGTATTGATTTCATTTTCACAAGGACTATTTTTTTAGAGCCAAATTACACCGCTAAAGATTATAATAGATGTAAGTAAAAGCTTTGAAATGTATTAAAAAAGGAGAATGCCATTTCTTTGCCTGCTATATCTTATACGAGATAAAAAGCCTTGCCTATACAGGACATTAAACTTTATGTATGTTCACAAGTCACGTGTGGCAAACAACAGAAACACTGAGGCTAGTTTAGTCTCGCCAACTCAAGGCAGTATTCTTTTCTTTAACGAAACTGGTCGTAAGAAACGCGTTTGGCACTATTTACGAATTAAAATGTACTCTGACCTTTATAGAGGTATTTAACTGATCAATTTTGAAGATTCGTAAATTTTGTCAATCATAGAAACTATTAAATTGAAGAAAGTTGGTTCAAATTCCAAATTTCGATAAATTTTTCATTTCCTGTCCAGTTGAGTTTACTTAGACAGGTAAGCCTAATATAGTTGTTTTGTGCATTATTCTTGCGGATTCTTACATTATTAATCTTAACCCATGATACTCGTTGTTCTGAAGTGTAAATCAAGTAACACTGGCCAGTTAAATACACGAGTGACGAATTTTCAAACTTATTAGACGTGGTCTCAATCTTTTGTTACTTGTTATTTGTGTGTTTTGCTTTAGAAAGTTGCGTCACTGAAACGCCGAGGTTCGTCTAAGGCCCGAGCTACTGATTTTCCATTGAAGAAAACTTCTGTTTCAGTAGATAATGAAGGTTCGTCGGAAACACATCAGCTCCCAGTCGGCCAAAGAAAAGAAACATCTCTGTCGAAAACCAGACAACTTCCGGACTTAAGTACTATTTCAGAAGAGAAAAGCTTGATGATTTTCAACCGGAATTTCAGTACAGACGTCACTTCTTCCGGACCCGATAGCCAAGTTCTATCACCCATTATCATTAAACGAACTTTAAATCCAGCTACCCTACCACAATCGATTGAACTTGGCTTTGACACATCTAACAAAACAAGTGGAAGCACGTGCTTTCTGAAGCAAGGTGGGGACTTGTGTCCAACGAATACACGAAATGGATCGTTTCATTATTCTCAATCCTTTGAATTAGTGAATCTCTGTTGTACGGAAGAATCCATTCATTCTTAATATATATAAACCGGGTGTAAAATTATTACTGTTTTACTTAAATGTTTTCTCTTCTTGCACAATTATATAACGTCTGTACGTTTATGAAGGTTGCGTTTTTACTGTAAAGATAATTTGTTTTTAAAAATTTCATTATGTTGAAATTACCTTTCCATGAAAATAGAAACATTAGGAATTAGGATCAAAGACTTTGCGATATAGATTAATACAAATTACTCATTAATAGATATGTTGACAGTGTAGATCTGAAAACAGCTTTTGTCTACTCTGTCTCATAGATTTGTTAACAGTGTAGATTTGAAAACAGCTTTTATCTACTCTGTCTCATAGATTTATTAACAGTGTAGATCTGAAAACAGATTTTGTCTACTCTGTCTCATATATTTGTTAACAGTGTAGACCTGAAAACAGCTTTTCTCTACTCTGTCTCATATATTTGTTAACAGTGTAGACCTGAAAACAGCTTTTGTCTACTCTGTCTCATAGATTTATTAACAGTGTAGATCTGAAAACAGCTTTTGTCTACTCTGTCTCATATATTTGTTAACAGTGTAGACCTGAAAACAACTTTTGTATACTCTGTCTCATATATTTGTTAACAGTGTAGACCTGAAAACAGCTTTTGTCTACTCTGTCTCATAGATTTATTAACAGTGTAGACCTGAAAACAGATTTTGTCTACTCTGTCTCATATAGTTGTTAACAGTGTAAATCTGAAAACAGCTTTTGTTTACTCTGTATCATATATTTGTTAACATTGTAGATCTGAAAACAGCTTTTGTCTACTCTGTCTCATAGATTTATTAACAGTGTAGACCTGAAAACAGATTTTTGTCTACTCTGTCTCATATATTTGTTAACAGTGTATACCTGAAAACAGATTTTGTCTCTTCTGTTTCATATATATTTGTTAACAGTGTAGACCTGAAAACAAGGGGGGGGGGGGTTAGTGACTTACAATGATAAAATCTGGGGCTGAGTTTCCCGTGGCGGACAGAATACATTTTACAGTTTTGTGCTAAAAAACAAAGAAATATAAGTATTTTTTTCACTTTAGAAAAGCCTGACAAAACTATTTCAATATTTATGCCTTTCAAATTTTTCAAACTTTGTCAATTAATGGAAAGAACTTGTCACAAATGAGTAATCATAATTTTAAACAAATATTGTAGATCGTTAGTAAGGAAGGTAAGACTACTGTAATGTAATGAAGTTAGGCTTAGCAAACAGTGATCATATTTTTTTTTATATATTATACAAAGTTATCACATTTTCTCATTATCGTTCTTTAATTGCATAAATAAACGAACATATTTTAATAGGGCTTTAAAAAAAAACCAGAATTAAGTGAAATGCCCCTTCAAAAAGTCATTTAAAGATATATATATAACATTATTATTAAGATTTTGAACCTAAACTCATCACCCGTGTTTACTTTTCGTTCTAAAAGAGACATTAGATGCTCTGATATAAAAAAAATTTGATTTGTCGAATCATTTGTACCATCAAATAGTTTGGAATAAGATTTTGTCTACATAGAGCAAATCCATATGGTAACTCATAGAATGATGTAGTTAAATACACGTCATATACACAGCTCTTGTCTTATGTATACTGATTTGTGTGACGAAAATAAATGCATTTCATTAATGCAATATGTGTAATTTTTATTTTTTCTGGAACAAGAACATTCCTATATGTGTGTGTATATATATATTATTTTTATATTGTAAAACAAGCCAGTAGAATCAGCGGTTGTAATATTAACTAAAACAGTTCAAGTATTTAAACCACACTTACAGATATTTATGTATCCCGCAAGGAGATATACTGTTCTTCACCCAAACACTTTTCAGTCGACCCCCCATTCCTTCATTTCTTGGCGGATTAACTTGAAACTTGGTAGGGTTATTTATACCTTGTTCCAATAGGCCCAGGTTATTTTTATTTAGGCCTTTTTAAGGATTTTATGGGGGAGAAAGGTCTAACAACCCAAAAATATATATTATGGGCACCTATGCGATCATATTTACGTCCAACACATTGACATACAAAAAAAGTTGAAGTTACCCATTTTGAGTTGTTTTTTAGACGGGGGGGGGGGGAAGAGCTCACAAAAAAGCATAATTTTGGAAGTTTTGGGTCAGTTACCCGGCCATATTTTGACCACTTTACGTAGGATTTGGTACAAAGATACTTTTCCACAGGTCCCTTAAATATACATACAAAAATGTGAGATACGGCCATTTTTGGTTATTTGGGGGTGGGGAGATTTTGGTCCATTTCTTGGCCATATTTCGACGAATGTACGTGGGATTTAGTATAGGTCCCAAATAGAGATATAGACAATTTAAGATTTGATATCTTTTACTCAATTTTTCAGGGTTGAAAGCACGATTTGAGGGTTTTTGTGAACTATTCGTGTGTATGTCAACCAATTTACATGAGATTTGGCACAAAGATACCTTCTTGCAGTTCCCAAGCGGTGATATAGACAATTTTAGATTTTTTCTGTGTTTTTTGTAATTTTTCTGGTGTCTAAATTGGCCATGTTGGGATTGAGTTGGAGGAGACATCTTGTATTTTCCCGCAAATGCTGGCTTCTTTAATTATATTAGGTTTAGCACTTTTCACTATGATTTTAATGATTTTCTTTTAAATCTTTTTTGTGTAAATGCATTAAAGTAAATAAATATAATTACGAAACTACACTTTGAGATAAAAAAAATTCAAAGTATGTCTTTATGTAAACTTAATGAGGCGCAACGGAATCATATTGAAAGTACGCTTCAACCTAGATACTCCAAATTTTATCTTTATGCAAAATTGATGAGGTATAACAGTCAAATATTGAAACAACGCTTTAACTTGGAGACTCGAAAGCTTTATCTTTGTGCAAAATTGATGAGGTATAACAGCCAAATATTTAAACAACGCTTTAACTTGGAGACACCAAAGCTTTATCTTTATGCAAAATTGATGCGGTATAACAGTCAAATATTGAAACAACACTTTAACTTGGAGACACCAAAGCTCTGTCTTTATGCAAAATTAATGAGGTATAACAGTAAAATGTTGAAACAACGCTTTAACTTGGAGACACCAAAGCTCTGTCTTTATGCAAAATTAATGAGGTATAACAGTAAAATGTTTTGCATAAAGATAGAGCTTGGTGTCTCCAAGTTAAAGCGTTGTTTAAATATTTGACTGTTATACCTCATCAATTTTGCATAAAGATAAATCTTTCGAGTCTCCAAGTTAAAGCGTTGTTTCAATATTTGGGTGTTACACCTCATCAATTTTGTATAAAGATAGAGCTTTGTGTCTCCAAGTTAAAGCGTTGTTTCAATATTTGACTATTATACCTCATCAATTTTGCATAAAGATAAAGCTTTCGAGTCTCCAAGTTAAAGCGTTGTTTCAATATTTGACTGTTATACCTCATCAATTTTGCATAAAGATAGAGCTTGGTGTCTCCAAGTTAAAGCGTTGTTTCAATTGATGAGGTATAACAGTAAAATGTTGAAACAAGGCTTTAACTTGGAGACTTAAAAGCTGTATCTTTATGTAAAATTGATGAAGTATAACAGTAAAATATTGAAACAAGGCTTTAACTTGGAGACTTAAAAGCTGTATCTTTATGTAAAATTGATGAGGTATAACAGTAAAATATTGAAACAAGGCTTTAACTTGGAGACTTGAAAGTTTTATATTTATGCAAAATGAATGAGGTAAAACAGCATAATAATAACACTACGCTTTAGATTGAGAGGAAAATCGCTTTCTGATATTTTACTCATATACGATATATGAGACGAGTTAATAGTGTAATTTGAGACATAAGGAAATATTGAATTTGTATTAATAAATTCTTTGTGTTTCGGACAATATAAGCTCTTACAACAAGGATGCAGTAGCTACAGAAAACTTATGACTACACTCCTTTCAAACCATACAACTTTGGATGTTATGTCAATCAATACTAACCATTCTTCCTTCAAGAGTTAATTTTAGAAGTCATATGTAAGTAGTAGTTGATTAGCAAATAAAATGTCTTTATTTATATAATCTGTATTATATAACGGAGTACAAAAGACATTATAATTCTGCTAATAAACGACCTTATAACACCAAATTTGTTTTTTTTATTTAACTAGACACTCGTATTTTTGCTTGGTAACTCCTTCAGGAGCACTCCTCTGAAATATAAACCACAATTTACGATAAAAAGCTTCAGTTGGTTTAAATATTAATGTATGCCTGATTCTGTGGCGTGCGTTTGAAAAGCGTGTGTTTGACATAACAAATAGAAAAGCTTATTGTTGAAAATATAACTTGTTATCCATGATAATAAAAATTAATGATTGAAATAACAACAGTTAAGACAAAAATTATAATTATAAGGGTCATCTTTTGTCCCTGTTCAACTGTGAATGGTCATCTTTTGTCCCTGTTCACCTGTGAAAGGTCATCTTTTGTCCCTGTTCATCTGTGAAGGGTCATCTTTTGTCCCTGTTCACCTGTGAAGGGTAATCTTTTGTCCCTGTTCAACTGTGAAGGGTCATCTTTTGTCTCTGTTTATCTGCGGTCGTCGTTGTCCAGTGAGAAGAGCTTCTCCTAGTTTTCTATCAGTGTGTTTGGTAAGGATATCCACAGAAAATGGTGGAATCGTGTCAGGAGTTACTTGGGTTAGATTAGTTAAAAATTGATTTGCAACTGTGCTTATCTCGCGTAGCCCTGATCTTAGCCTTAGATAAGTCGATAACGTATTTGAACTAGGGAACCAAGGCCTTCCTTCCTTAATCAGATTTCAAGGCTACCAACGCCCTGATCTTAGCCTTAGATAAGTCGATAACGTATTTGAACTAGGGAACCAAGGCCTTCCATCCTTAATCAGATTTCAAGGCTACCAACGCCCTGATCTTAGCCTTAGATAAGTCGATAATATATTGGAACTAGGGAACCAAGGCCTTCCTTCTTCAATCAGATTTCAAGTATTTCTGAAATACATGGAAATCTAATTCGACCTTAATCATTCAAATGACATCAGGAGTATATGTAGATGTGCTTAGCGTTACCTTAATGACCATAATATACATCATATAAATATACGCTCTACCTTGTTTCAGAGAACAACCTCGTTTGCTTCACTTCGAACCCCATCATCCTAACACTTCCTGGAAATATACAATTATCGAAGAATCAAAACGAATCGATTGATGAAGGCACTACACAGTCTTTAATTATTTTATCTTTTACATTTAAATATGGACAACAAAAAACATAGATCAACCAAAACGAAAGAAGACAATTTTCCAAAAATACCACAAACATTACTCTTACTCTCTTACAGTTTTAGAACCTGAAAATGGGTGTCTTGTCTCCAATGTTGTTTATCAGTTTATATGATGGCCCGGCATGGCAAGGTGGTTAGGGCGCTTGACTCACAATCTCAGGGTCGCGGGTTCGAATCTCCGTCCCACCAAACATACTCGCCCTTTCAACCGTGGGGGGCGTTATAATGTGACTGTCAATCCCTCTATTATTTGGTAAAAAGAGTAGCTCAAGTGTTGGCGGTGGGTGGTGGTGACTAGCTGCCTTCCCTCTAGTCTTCCACTGCTAAATTAGGGACGGCTAGCACTGATAGCCCTCGTGTAGCTTTGCGCAAAGTTCAAAACCAAACCAGTTTACATGTAAAATTTGCCATCATACGCACATTGGGGAAACCAAAAACTCTAAAATCAAGGGGAAAAAACAAACACTTTGACTCTTTTTATAAAGTACGTTGGTATCTTGACGCCCCTTGTTAAGTGCCGTTGTTTCAAAAACGTGCATAAATACAGTAGGCCTCCTTCGGCCAGGTTTGACCATGGATGAGCATCCGTCCATTGTTAGCTCATGTTGATCGCTCGTCTAGAGCAGCGTCTTTTGTGACTAAGGAGACCG